GCAGAGAAAGAGGGGGACACAGGCTCCCCGCTGAGCAATGTGGGGCTCAATTCCAGGACCCTGAGATCATGACCTGAGCCGAAGGCAGTGGCTTAGCCCACTGAGCCACCCAGGCACCCCGAGAGAGAGAGCCTTAAGAAAACTCCATACTTAGCATGGAGCCTGACTCGGGGCTGGATCTCACGACCCTGAGCTCATGACCTGAGCCAAAATCAAGACTCAGATGCCTAACAACTGAGCCATCCAGGTACCCTGAGGAGTTCCTTTCTATTTCTAGTTTTCTGAGAATGTTTATAAGGAAAGGATGTTTGATTTTATCAAATGCTTTTTCTGTATCTATTGAAGTGATGCTACAGTTTCACTTTTTAGGTTTGTGATGAATTTCACTGAATGATTTGTGAATGTCAAACCAACCTTGCATTCCTAGAATAAACTCCACTTCATCATGATGTATTATCCTTTCTATATATTTTTGATTTAATTTACTAAAAGTTTGTTTAGAGTTTTTGCATCTATGTTGATGACGGTTATTAATCTATAGTTTTCTTATAATGTTTCTGTTTGGTTTTTATATTAGAGTAATGCTGATTTCATAGAATGAATGAGGAAATATCCTCTCTGATTTTCTGGAAGAGTTTGTTAGTGCTTGCTATTTTTTTCTTTCTGAAATATTCGATAGAATTCAACAGTAAAGTCATCTTGTCCTGGAGGGTTTTTTGGTAGGAAGGTTATTGACCATATATTTAATTTTTTTAGAACATACAGGGATATTCCGGTTATCTATTTCCTTATAAGTGAGCTTTGGTAGTTTGTATTTTCTTTTTTTTTTTTTTTTTAAGATTTTATTTATTTATTTGACAGACAGAGATCACAAGTAGGCAGAGAGGCAGGCAGAGAGAGGGGAAGGGAAGCAGGCTCCCTGCTGAGCAGAGAGACCGACGCGGGGCTTGATCTCAGGACCCTGGGATCATGACCTGAGCCGAAGGCAGAGGCCTTAACCCACTGAGCCACCCAGGGGCCCTGGTAGTTTGGATTTTCAAGAAATTTGACTATTTTATCTAAGTTGTTGAAATTGTTGGCATAAAACTGCTTACAGTTTTAACTGTATATTTTTAACATCTGTAGTATCTGTTCCTCGGTAACTTCTCACATTCCGGATATTTGTAGTGTATTCTTTTTTCTTTCCCAATCAGTCTGGCTTGAGATTCTTTTTTGCTTTTTCTTTTTAAATCTTGTCAAAGAACCAACTTTTGGTTTTAAGGAATTTTTCTGTTTTCTATTTCATTGATTTGTACTAATATATCTATTATTTTCTTTTTGTAATTACTTTGTATTTTTTTTTGTTCTACTTTTTCTAGTTTTTAAAGGTGAAAACTGAGGTCATAGTTTCAAGATCTTTCTTCCTTTCTAATATAGGCTTTTACTATGGTAATTTTCCCCATAAGTACTTCTCAAGTGGTATCCACATATTTTGTTATGTTATATTTTCTTTATCTTATAGTACAGAATACTTTCTAGTTTCCCTTTTGGTTTCTCATTTGACCCATGGCATATTCAGAAGAGTTTTATTTAGTTTGCAAAATTTGGGGATTTTTCAGATACCTTTCCATTATTTATTTTTCTAAATAGTAATTACTTTGTGACAGAGAACATACTTTGTATGACTTGAATATTTAAATTTATTGCAGCTTGTTTTATGATTCAGAATATGGTCTATCTTGGTAAATGTCGCATATGAACTTTAAAAGAATGTATACTCTGTTATTGGGTAGAGTTCTATAAATGTCAGTTATATAAAACTAGTGGATAATGTTGTTCCAATATTCAATATCCTTCTGATTTTTCTGTTCACTTATTTTCCAATTATTGAGATGTAAGTATTGAAATCTCCATATATAATTGTGGTTTTGTTCAATTTTCCCTGCAGTCTTTTTTTTTTCTTGCTTCATTTGTTGTGAAGTTCTGTTATGTGCATATTTAGGACTGTCATGTGTTCTTGAACTAACACCATTATCATTGTGAAATACCATCTTTATTTTTTCTGTTAAAATTTGCTATGTCTGGTATTAATATAACCACTCAAGCTTTTTTTTTTAAATAAAATTTTTATGGTATATCTTTTTCATCCTTTTACTTGTAACTTGTCTGTGGTTTTCTGCTTTCTTTTCAATGAATTGTATTTTTTTATTCCATTTTATCTCTTGTTGACTTATTAGCTATAAATTTTTTGAAAACATTATTTTAGGAGCACCTGGGTGGCTCACTTGGTTAAGCATCTGCATTTGGCTCAGGCCATAATCTGGGGATCCTGGGATTGAGCCCCACATCAGGCTTCATGCTCAGCAGGGAGCCTGCTTCTCTTTTTCCCTCTGCCTGCTGCTCTCCCTGCTTATGCACTCTCCCTCACTCGGTCAAATAAATAAAAATCTTAAAAAAAAAAAAAGAAAATGCTATTTTATGCTTGCTTTAGGATTTGTCATATACATCTTTAATTAAATAAAGTCTATCTTTAAGTGATATTATATCCCTTCATATAGTATAAAAATCTTCCAACAGGATAACTTCCATTTTTCCCTTTTCAGCCCTATGCTATGTTTTCATGCAATTTATTTTTTTATATATTGTAAACCCCACAGTATATTGTTACTGTTTCTGTTTAAATAGTCAATTACCACTTAAAGAGATGTAAATAACATGAAAACCCATCTTATATGTTTACTATATAATTACTGTTTCCAGTGGGACATTTGCTGTCATTTTTATCTTTGGTCCTCTTTTCATAACGTGTTCTTTTACTCTGGCTGCTTAAAAACTTTTCTCCTTATCACCTGTTTTAAGCAGTTGGATTATGATGTACTCTAGTGTAATTTTCTTCATGTTTCTCATGCTTCAGGTCATTGAGCATCTTGGGTTTACACTTTCATCAAACTTGAAAAAAATTTCCACTATGTTTTATTCAAATACTTTGTTTTCCTCTCTCCTCTACTTTAAGGGGTCCATTTACATGTGTATGAGGATATTTGAAATTGTTCCATAAGTTACTAATGTTCTGTTTTTTTGTTGCTTGAATGATTATTTGATTGATTTCTGTCATTGTTTCATTTTGGATAATTTCTATTTCTGTCTTTAAGTTCACCAATCTTTTCTTTAATGTGTGATCTTCCTTTCATGTTATCCAGTGTCTTTTCTCACACAGTCAAGTTTCTTCTCTAGAAATTTGGTTTATATCCTTTCTATATCACCTATAGCTTTCCTTATATTTTTATTTTTTGTTATTATTTTTATTCAAGTATAATTAACATACAATATTATATTAGTTTTAGGTGTGCAATATAATGATCAAATAGTTTGACATTTCTCAGTTCTCAAGATTAACTGTACTCTTGATCCTCTTTATCTGTTTCACCCATCTTCACCATGTACCTTCCCTCTGGCAACCACCACTTTGTTCTCTGTATTTAAGAGACTGGGGTTTTTTGTTTCTTTCTTTCTTTCTCTCTTTTTGTTGTTTGTTCATTTGTTTTGTTTCTTAAACTCCACATGTGAGTGAAATCATATGGTATTTGCCTTTTCCCTGACTTATTTCACTTAGCACTATACACTGTAGGTCCATCCATGTTGCTGCAAGTGGCAAGATCTTATTCTTTCATGACTGACCAATATTCCGTGTGTGTGTGTGTGTGTGTGTGTGTACCACTTCTTCCTTATCCATTCATCTGTTGTTGGGCACTTTGGCTGCTTTCATATCTTGTCTATTATAAGTAATGCTGCAATAAATATACGTATGCATGTATCTCTTCAAATTAGCATTTGTGTATTCTTTCGGTAAATACCCAGTAGTGGATCATATGGTAATTCTTTTTTTATATTTTTTGAGGAACCTCCAAACTGTTTCCCACAGTGGCTGACCTTGTATTTTTGGACATTTACAATATAGTTATAACTGTTTGAATAGTCTTCTTCTTAAATTCTAACTTCTATATAAGTTCTGAATCAGTTTCAGTTGATTGATTTTTTCTCATTAAAAGTTCTATTTTTCTGCTTCTTTACATGCCTGCTATTTTAAAATTGCATCATACATATTTACACTAAAAATGATTCGTTATTTATCTGAAATTTAAGTTTAGCTAGGAATCCTGTATTTCCCTAGCAGCCCTAGATCCCTGTGGCCTCTCCAGACTCTCCTCTTTGTCTCCTTGATTTGGGGAATCCTGTAGACTGTGCCTGAGTTCTCACTCACTGTGCTGCAACCTGACTCTGTCACAGCAGTAAGCTGGTGCCATGTAGGACTCATCTTCTTTGTCCCTGGTCTCTCAGGGATGTCGTTGTATTGAAACCCAGTCTTTTGTATACTTTGTCCATTTTTTTGGTTGTTTCACCCAGGAGAGTAAGTCTGGTTCCTGTTACTCTGTCTTGGCTGAAGGTAGAAGTCTCTCTCCAGAGGTTATTATTTTTAGCCAGAGGCCAAAACATGGTGCTGATGAGGGCCAAAGCTGTGTGTTCAGTCCCTTCATAGGAGAGTTTGTTGGCTTCGCACCATAATTTTGTGCAATCAGCTACCTAGAAAAAAGAATGTTTTGGATCACAAGTGGTACCTGGTGACTGTGAAGATGATTCAGCACAGTTGGGAAACTGGTTAGAAGTGCACATCTTCTAATAGGGAAATGGGGGGGGGCATGGGCTTATTACCAAATAAAAGGATAAATCAGCACACTGAATTATGTTACATTACTTGTCAGATTTTGGACCAAAAGATAGGTGTGGCTGAAGGTCAGTGCTCAAGGGATTGGATGCTAATAAGTTTGGAGGCAGGGTCAGGAAGAAAAGGCTGAGAGAGTCAGGGTAATCAAACTGGGGTCATATAAAGGCTTTGAAAAATTTAAGCCCCCTGTTTCCCTGTCCAGTAATCAATTACGTTATTCCTAAAAGGGGTGGGGGATCTTCAGAAATGAGAACAAAAATATCTCCTTTCTTTTTTTCTTTGGTTTCGCTTGGTCTAGCCATATGCCGCTATCCTCTGGGCATGTCAGGAGGCCACATTCCAGATGAGGACATCACAGCTTCCAGTCAGTGGTCAGAATCCACAGCTGCCAAATATGGAAGGTGAGGATGGATACCCCAAGAAAGCCTAAATCCTGAGTTGGGTACATTTTCTGACTCAAGGGACTGGGGAAGGAGGGTGGTATTTAATGGGACCTGGGAGGAGTGAGGGAAGAACATCAAGTGGGCCTGTCCTGTTCTGTATGTTTTCAGAAAGAGAATTCAGGGCTGGGCGCCATGTGCTGGTCTGGCAACCCCATCCCAGTCACAGGGCCTTGCACGACACTACCCACAACAGATGGGTTCATTGATATGCAGTGGATTTGCTTTACTCACCTTCTCACTGTGAGCAACTGCAGGAAGCTGGTGACAGTGGTAGGTAGGGGAAGATGCAGATGAGATAGGACACTGGGAGCTAGGAGACTCAGTCCTCCTCTCAGTGGGTGTCTGTGAAACATCACTCACAGTGCAAAACATCAAGGCTTTCAGCATATGATGAGGCCTCCAATAAATTCTTCCCTTCTCTTAAGGATACCTTATAGAAGGGCCATCCTCATCCATAAAGAGTATGGTGGGTTCCTAGTGGCCTAATAGCAGGGGTCCTCTAAAGCAATGAACTCCCTTGTCAAAAACTAGTCTGCTTGTTAGGGCATAATCCTCCTCCTCCTGGAATCTAATTCTTTTGGTGTAAAGTGTTGATTTCTGTTAAAATGGAATCACCCATAAGAAAAGCAACCTCAATAAACCTTCCCCATAATTTCTTAGTATGTGAAAGATGAGAATGATGGTTGGTGGGGTTGGAAGAAAACAGTGATGAGTAGGTGACATCTGTGAGAAAAGGGACATTTTAGGGAAGAGGAAAAGTGGTAAGAGGCTCCCAAAATAAACCTTATACTGATTTCACAATTTTGTTCACTGGTAGCTCAGCTTGGAGGTAATAAAATGAAAGCAGATTATTTACTGCTCCCCTGACACACTCCTGCCCCTCACTCTCATCATGGGTTCCCATGGCTTTGTGCTGGGCTGCCATGCCCATCCCATTGGTTAAAATTCCACTGCATTACATAACCCACACTGGGGATCTTATGATCCCTCCCTCCTCCTTCCTATAACTTGATATCCAGGCAAGGAGTGGCCACCCTTGTTATGCTGGGACTGAAAGTGGAAGGGGGTGGTAAAATGACTCATGGGGGAGTATAGGGTAGAAAGGGTTTCATTTCCCTTCAGGTCTTTAAATCAGGATGAGAAATAAAGACTAAATCTGATCTGAAGGCCTCTAGGCCCTGGTGGTAAGTGTCTTTCTCAGTTTCATAGTGCCCTAGGGCCAGGGGACTGACCACAGGTCGTGGCAGTCAGACTTAAGGGGAGACCCGAAGAATCTTTTTAAAGAGGGGTTGCAGCCTTTTCTCTCCCCTCAGGACAGGGCAGCTGCTTGCTGTGGATTGGTAAACAACTCTGGTTTCATGGTTTCTCTTTGTCTCCCCAACCCTGTGTCTCAAGGCTGGACTCAGAAGAAGGGGATGGAGCCTGGTGCCCTGAGATTCCAGTGGAACCCGATGACCTGAAGGAGTTCCTACAGATTGACTTGCACACCCTGCACTTTATTACTCTGGTGGGGACCCAAGGGCGCCATGCTGGGGGCCATGGCATTGAATTTGCCCCCATGTACAAGATCAATTACAGTCGGGATGGCACTCGCTGGATCTCTTGGCGGAACCGGCATGGGAAACAGGTAGGAAGAAGAGACATCCAGACCCTGAGATGTCCAGGACCATATTTTGACTTAGGCTAGAAGAGGAAGTACACAGGCTGTCTTGTAGGTATGTGCACACACAGACCTGGCATGCCCTTATCCATGTGGGACCGAGGATGAGGGAGGGCAAGGTGGGAGGACCAGGAGGAATATCAAGGTTGCTGAGAAAACTGAAAGGATACATTCTGCTCCTTCAGTTCAAAAGAGAGGGTCCCTGAAAGGGTTGATGAGGTAGAGTCAGCATAACCTCATAGCATCTTTCCCCCCTTTCTCTTCTCTTTCCTCAGGTGCTGGATGGGAATAGTAACCCCTATGACATTTTCCTAAAGGACTTGGAGCCACCCATCGTGGCTAGATTTGTCCGCTTCATTCCAGTCACTGACCACTCCATGAACGTGTGCATGCGGGTGGAGCTCTATGGCTGTGTCTGGCTAGGTAGGTTTCCAGAGAGAGAGAGCTTATAGATCTTATTAAAACCCCCAACCCCTGGAAAATAAAGGCAAACAAGTCAGAAAGGTATGGGATTAGTCATCTCTGGAGTGAAGTGATTCCTCTAGGCTCGAGCCAAGAAAGGACATTGCTCCTTCACCAACATGTGGTGCTCTATACATTAAATGATACAATCTGAGTCATTTCACTGACTGCCACTAAGGAGTGCTCCTTGGCAGTGCTCCCTTTGTGCCCAATATTGTCTGTGCAGACATATTGAACAAGATTTCACCCCTGAAGTCTTGTGTAGCTCCCTGGGATAGTTGGTCTAAGCAGTGGGTGCCTCTCCTTCCTAAGGCACTGACACACCTGTTTCCTTGGCAGATGGCTTGGTGTCTTACAGTGCTCCGGCGGGACAGCAGTTCGTACTCCCTGGAGGCTCCATCATTTACCTCAATGATTCTGTCTATGATGGAGCTGTTGGGTACAGGTAAATTCTGGGAAACTTTGGTCATCAGAATGGAAAAGTGGCCACTAGAAGAGAATAGCATTTCATTATGGTTTCGGATTAATAATTAATCAACTGGTCAACCAACTGGTGTTTATTTAGACCCTGTATTGAGCATTGTGAGATAATTTAGATGAAGTAAAATAGGGACTCTTTATTTGCAAGGAACTGAAGTCCTAGTTTGGGAAGACAGGGGAAACAATAAATTACACAAAGTGAGAACTGAAATTGTGGTATATTTCTAAGTATGGTAGATACACACACACACACACACACACATATATGCCCTTAAAACAGGACATATGGTCTGACACAAATAATGGCCTACTTATAGAGATGAAATACCAGAAGAACTGAAGTTATAAGTATACTAATTGGACAGGTCAAGAAGTTCAGGAAGACTGTACCCCATAAATGGAAATGCTTTGGAAGTCATGAAAAGGAGACTCGTAAGGCTTATGATAGACAAGGAGAGTTTCTAGGATGATATGATTTAGAGCAGAGGAGGTGGGCAGAAAAGTGCAAAGGAAAGGGAACAAGGCTGAGGACAGAAATGGTCTGACTGTAGCAGAAGCTCGAGCTGGGAGCAGCAAAGAGGGCCAGTGTAGTCCTGAAATGGGCCTATGGAGGGCCATGGTGGAGGAGTTGGACACAGTAATAGGGTTGGATGAGAGATGTTCCTCCTATATCACTTCACTCTGAATCTTGCCATTCTTCTTCTAGTCCACTTTGACACTTTTCTCTCTCTTAGCTTGGTCTTTGTCTGCAAAGATTGCACCTGGAAGAGAGATTAAGTCCAGACTAGAGGATGGAGGTTTCTAATGGTTGAGAGAGGAAGAAATTAGTCTCCGGAAGGGGAGTGAGGGATTACAGGACATCCATTGTTTTAGGTGTGAAGAATAAACTCCTGACCCCCTGCCTACCCCCACCCCCAGCAGCGCCCCGGCAACTACCATCCCCTCAGTGAAGACCTGACTCACCCAGTATTTGATTTCCAGCTACTTCCTTTCCATCTGCTTAGTCACTGTTGTTTTCTGTTCACTCAAACTGTATGGGCATCATTTCATTTAGCCACTCCCCAACTGACATTTACTCAAGGTATAGAGGAAATTGAGATCAATTGAATTCATTTTAGATTAATAAATCTTTGCTAATCCATTCTTGCTACCTCCAACGAATTTGGCCAGACTTGGTAGGTATTCAAAAATATAAGGAAGTCCTGGATCCTACCTTAAAGAAGCTCCCAATTAGGAATGGGGACTAGGGCAGGAAAGCACAGCACCGGGAGTGAAAACACCTGGATTCATGTCATGAAAGTTATTTCCATTTCCTCAAGTTATAAAAATGTATAAGAAAAGCATTTTTTAAAGGTAAAGTGCTAAATACATGTAAATTTTATCTGATTTGGAAAACCAGCAAAGATATGATGGAATAGCTGAAACTAAAGTGGGCCCCAAAGGATGGGTAGAACTTTCACTGGTAAAGAATCTTGAAATGGCACTTGAGGCAGAGTGCATAGCATAACAACAAAAGAATCACACTTAAAGTTTAGGGAAATGTCTGCCAAAGATCAATCATTTAGTTAACCATCAGCGATACTTACGTAGCAAAATAGTAGATGAGAAGCATGATTGGGCAGATGATGTCGTATTTTGGAGGAACTTGAATGTCAGGGCCAGGAAGAAGAGGAGGAGGGGGAGTTGTTTTTTTCTTCATAAATATAACCATCGACAGGACAAGTCATTGAAGATTTTTAAAGCTGGAGAAGGACAAGATTGGAACTGTGCTTTAAACAGATTAATCAAGCAGCTCACAAAGGTTAGATTTGAGTCAAAAGAGGAGGTGATGGGGGACATTTTCTAATTGTGAACTCTGTCCAATGAAAACAATGAAGGACCAAGGCCAAAATGGTGACTCTGGGAATGGGAGTAGGAGACATTCACATAGGGACCATTTGCAATCTGACTGGGTTTAAGTGTGAGACAGTTGGGTGAGGAAAAGAGGTAGATGAAACCTTGGGTTGGCATTTATTCATCAACAGTCATACTCTGGTACATATGGTGTTCCAGGCACTTTCACTGAGCCACTGAGTATGAAAGAATATAATGGGCAGAAATGGGAAACTTAGGTGAAAGATTTAGTTTAGAAAGGGGTAGTGATGGATTTAGTTTGGGATATAAATTTAAGGGAATGGCAGGACATTCAAATGGATAAATAAGGCACTATTAACAGGAAAGGTGAAGAGAAACTGCAGCGATTTCAACACAATCACTTTCCACTTGTTAACTGAGATAGTGAGGTTATCTCTATGGAGTGTGCCTGGGTGATGAGGTGTAAGCTACCTGATTCAGAATCTCGGGAATAGATAGTTTTAATAGTAAAAGTTACCTTTTTTTTAACTAAAAAAATTACAGAAGTAATACATGCTTGTTGTAGGAATTCTAACAATCTAAAGGATATGAAGTAAACCAGGAAAGTTTCTTTCCTTACCCATCCCCATTTGATTTAATTTTGACTAAAAGAAATTAATTTTTCATTTGTGTTGCTTTTCTTAAGTTTCATGGGGATTTATTATTATGGGGACAATGGGAAATATATTTATTGCAAGTAAACTTATGTTCTCCTAGCCTTCTGATCTGTAGAGAGAAGAAAAAGATGGCAAATCCTTGGAAGGGAGATCCAGGCTCTGGTCACTGTGGATAAGGCCAGTCAAATTTTATAATTTGCCCAACATTTTTCAATGAATAAATAAATTTAAAAGTATATCTGTAAGGCTGGCATAATCACTCAATTTTTCTTTTGTGAATCCACAACTTTTACATAAACTCAAGGGGCACATGTATTATTGCTTGAGGGTGAGTATCCCAATCTCTTCATTTGAGAGACTCCTGACCTTTCATTTGAGCTTACAATGCAGAGCATGAAGAGAGTGAAGTCCCAGTGGATGAGTTCTTGCTCTGCCTCTCCATAAAAAGAAGGCCAAATAGAAATAGAAAGCTAAAAATAATAGCCAAATTAACATAAATACACAATCATCCCACATACCAATCAAGAAGAGCCTTACAATCAGAAGTGGAAAGCATGCCAATCTAGAAAACAAGACTAAATCCAATGCCTGAAACCCTCATGTAATTCATGTGTTCTATTCTATGAATCTGTATCCTACCAATTTAATTAAAATTACATATAAATTAGTATTTAAGTTTGGCATTGATGACTTTTTCCCCCCTTTAGTTTGACATCAAATTGGAATGTTGGATGTGGGGTAGAAGAGGGCATGACTGGCTTCTGTGGAATTGATTCACTGAAAAATGACAATATACAGTCAAAGGAGAGTCAGAAAAATTTCCAACAAGCTCTGGGACTATTTACTGAGTGATGGTCAAGTGCTACTACCTACTGTAGTGTTCATTCTATGCATCCATCCATCCATTCATTCATTTACTTGTTAATGGATTAATTAATCAAGTGCATTTGATAATACTGAGTTAGTATATAAAAACATTACATTCAGTCTACAAGAATAGGTAAGGATGCAATAGATTATAGAAAGCTTTTCTTATAAAATGATAAAATATTATTTAAAAGCTTGGCTACTAAAGCAGTAAGCATTAAGTATTTTGTAAAATTCATTTATATGAAATTCTTTGTTCTCCATTGATGCAGGATAAATGCATCAATGCTATAAAATATGCTGGATTTTTCATAATTCTTCAACCTTCAAGATAATCATTACAAAAGATAATATTACAAAACCTGGGGTGAAGAAGCTGGGTATAAAAGCTCTTCGTGAATGTGCAATTAATTCCAGGTTCCTCTCTCCCTTTCCCTTTTCTTCCCCTGGCCTGAGCAGCATGACTGAAGGGTTGGGCCAGCTGACAGATGGGGTATCTGGCCTGGATGACTTCACTCAGACCCACGAATACCACGTGTGGCCGGGCTATGACTACGTGGGCTGGAGGAATGAAAGCGCTCCCAGTGGTTACATCGAGATCATGTTTGAATTTGACCGAATCAGGAATTTCACGACCATGAAGGTCAGTGGTGTTAGGTGTGGTGGAATGTGTGCAAAGAAGCCAAGATAATGGTGTAGTGAAAAGGCATGCTAGAAAGAACCTTGGGTGGTGTCGGCAGAACTGGATTCAAATTGTTATTTTGCCACTAATGAGCTACATGCATTTCCAAATCACTTCATCTCTGGGCTTCTTGCTTCATTTGTAAATAAGGGGGTTAGACTAGGTCACTATTTCTCAATGTTTTCTGTTATTGTTCCAACATCAACGTCTACATACCATTAGGCACAGTGGATCCAGCATCTAGAGCCCACAATACTTTGAAGGCCTATGGAAATATTTTAACTTCTTTTAATGTCAGGGGGAAAAAAAGAGCTTTTAGGGTCAAACATAATTTTCATCTGTTTTAACGACAGAATTTCAAAATACAATTTTAATTTTTTATGGAGGGAGGGGCTCACAAAAGCAAAAGTAAATAGAACCCATGGAAATCATTTTATGACCCTGCCCAATGCTCCTGAGGGACATGCTTTTATCAGTAAGGATGGCTCATTGCCACTCTAATTCTCAGTGGAAGAATTGAGTATTTTGTATCTTGTCTTTGAAATCACTTTCCACACCTATCCTTTTTCTTCTATTCCGTGGTCACTGAGAAGTCATGACAGGAGGCTCTACACTCTTCTGTTTCCAGAGTTCTTTGTTTCCTTATCTCTTGCAACAGCATATCTTCTGTCTGGTTGTCCTACCAGATTTCATGCTCCTCCAACCAGAACTCTAAGCTTGAGGAAAACTGGGGCTTAACAGTGGAAAGTCCTTTTATTGAGTGTAAGGGAGACAGACCCCTGAAGTTTTTGTGGTCCACGTATAACTCTTACTGGTTTATTGAGGAGCATGAGAGGACACCAGAATGAGGCCCAAGAGAGTGGGCACGTGAATTTGACCTCACACATGGACTCCTGTTCATCTGTTATTTTCCCTTTTCATAGATGGGTACAGAATATTAATGGCCAACAGATTGGTGATGCTGCCTCTGTCTAAATCCTCTTGGGATGATTTGCCATTCAGTGGGGGGAAGGCACCATTTATTTGCAAACGGAGATACGTAGGATGAGATGAGGACCCAGAAGAAGGAAATCTTTGTTATCTTTAAAATCTGTTATTCTTGGCACAAACTTGGAGTCAAAGAGGAAATCCGTGTCTGTTATATTACCCTCATATGTTAATGTGATAATATCTCCTAATTGGATTAATAGCTATTAGTTAAATGAGCAAACATTTAGGTTGAGGACAGAAGGATCAACACAGGCCCATCTGCCCTTAGATTGTTCAAGGATGGCTTCTTGGCAGTTTTAAGAATGTAAGTGTGTGCAGTTGTGTGTCTAGCACTTATCCTTCAGAGGGTTTTCTGGAGGGGGGAGGGGAATTCGCATAGTGCCAAATATCTAGCTCCAGGGAAAATTTATTTCTATTGCTGAATAGTGAGATACCCACATGCACCTATGAACAAATGTATCAATTCACACAAATATACCATCGGGGTAATTTTTAGTCTCACAAATAATAAAATGTATTTTAAACTCTCCACAAAGTTTTAATATTTAGTCAATAGACCTTGATCTCCCTGAGTCCCCTGTAGCTCTGTCTAATTAGTTTATCACAGGTCAGAATTATTCAAAAGCGTATTCTGCGGTAACCAGGTACCAGAATCTTCTCCATCTTAGAGTCCGTCCTCTCGAGGCCAAACAAGCCTCTAGTGTATTTTAATTTTTCTGAGACAAATAAAATATTAAAAATAACTTACAGGTCGCTAACATCTTCTAGAAAGTAGTTATTGCTTTCTAGGCAAATTACTGTCGTTCCCCCTGCCCCTTAAATCTAGTCAAAATATTCTATTGAAATATATTACTGTCCTTTTAAAATGTATTGTATTTATTAAATAAATGTGTTAAGTCCACAGGGGAATGAATTCTATACTATTTATTTGCATTCCAGGAGAATTCCCAAAACATCTGTAGGAGAGATTATTACCTCCCCCACAGGCTACTTATCCAACACTTTGCAGATTGCAAAAAAATCTGAAAAATCTATTGAAGCTGTAGATGGTATTTTTTTAGATTTTTTTTTCTTAGCCTTGCTCCATTGACTTGTGCTCAGTAAACTGGAACAGCTAATTCATCCCAAGGAAGATACTAACAGATGTTTTCATCGTTAAAATATTTACAGGAAAATCCAAATGGAGAAGTCAAGGTGACTTGTTCCATTTCTGGGTGGCGTGGTATTGGTGAGGGCACTGGACCAGGAGTCTAGGGTTCTAGACTCCATTCTGTTGTTGACTGGCCATGGGCAGGTCATACCTACCTGAGCACTAGCTCATTAGAAATAGAGAGTCAGAGTAGGTGATTTTATTCTATTCTTTCAGAGTATCTCTGCTCATTTCTTTGATCATAACATTTCTACAATCATTGCTGCTGTTTCTTTAGCTAAACATAAATTCTGAACAGTAGTCCTGTAGTTGCTCTCTAGAACACAGAGGAGGGTATCAAAGACAGTCGAAGGCTTACAATGCAGGGCCTAAGCAAGACATTAAAATGCAAATAGCAAATATCTTCCCAGAATGGCAATGAGACATTTCCAGCCTATGAAGTCTTTTAATTCAGGGGCTTGAGACCAGCACAGCTCCATTTTCCACGTACAGCTGAGCCAGAGGAAATGTCAGTGAACAACCACGAGGGACCTGACCTAGTTACAAATATGCACATTCCATTTCTGAAGGATGTTGAGCACACAAAGGTGCTCCAGAGGAACTGTTGTGGGATCTTTGTTTCTTATGACCCTTTTACAAGCCATACAAATATCCTGGTGAATGTGTTAGGGCAGCGGGGAAGAGAATGCAAGCTACTTTCTGTAAGACCTTCTTTTCTCATCTCAGAAAATATCCCTGAGGAAGATCCCATGTCCTCATCAGAATGGCATTACCTAAACTGAACTTCATCAAGACAGCTTATTAAGTCTTGTGTCTCTGGCTGAAAAATGCTAATACGCGGCCCTTGACATGAGCTTTTTAAAGAGAAAGATGAAATCATTTTTGGAATGTGTATTATTTCAGGTTTCTCAATTAAACCTGTTGGAAGGAGTGGACTGGTTTAGAATGTACCTGGGAGGAAGGAAGATGGAGGGTGTCCCCTTACCTCAGTTCAGAACAGTTTGTTTCTGAGTGAACAGCCAGTAAGTGTTAGGGAGGGTTAGATACTTGGGAGTGTTAAGGGCAAGGAAGGCCCCTGAGAAGATGCTGGTCTGACCCTCATTTAACAGGTGAGGTGACAGGAAATGAGGTGGCTGGGAGCACACAGTTGCAGAGAGGTGACTGGGGAAGCCACACCATTTTTAGGGTGCCAGACCAATGTCTCACAGCTGCTGTGAAGAGGGTGGAAGGGCAAGTCCGAGAGACTGCAGAGCTAGTCACCAAGAGCGGAGCTCAGAGAAATGGGCAGATGGAGGATTTTACCAGGTTAGGTTGCCCTGTGTCCCTGCACCACTTGTTGGTGTCAGCCTGTCCCTCACATGCCTCCTTCTCTGCCAGGTCCACTGCAACAACATGTTTGCCAAAGGTGTGAAGATTTTTAAGGAGGTGCAGTGTTACTTCCGCTCAGAGGCCAACGAGTGGGAACCGAACGCTGTGTCCTTCCCCCTTGTCCTGGATGACGTCAACCCCAGTGCTCGGTTCGTCACAGTGCCCCTCCACCACCGCATGGCCAGCGCCATCAAGTGCCAATACCATTTTGCTGATACCTGGATGATGTTCAGTGAGATCACCTTCCAATCAGGTTGGGAGCTGGGGGCCTCCTGTGGAGGTGGGAGTGGGGTAGCGTGGTGAAGGAGGCAGGTGAACCCTGGAGCTGCTCAGTGGGTGGGTGTCTGAGGAAGAGGATTGCACAGTGGCTTCTCACTGGTAGATAGAGAAATCTACATGACTAGAATATTTACTGGGCTCTCACATATTTATTTAAAAGGCATGTAAATTAAAGGATGAAAACATGAGAGCACAATGAGTTAAAACTGTATAAATTAAGCCAGTTAAGGGGAAGCACACTATTAAAATATTTAAATGAAAATTTCCAAATATACACAAAAGTAGAGAACAATGAGCCTTACCAACCACTCTCAGCCTTCCAACCACTGATGTTGTGACTGTCTTTCATTATTTCTCCATTTTCACTATAGTATTTTAAGCAAATTTGAGATATTATTTGAGTTTATTACTAAAAATTTGAGACTACATCTAAGAAAATAACATCTTCTTCATAAGCATCATGCCTTGCAAGCATAAAGCAATATAAAATCTAACAACATTTATTAATAATTAATTCCTTAATATTATCTAATAGGCTGTCCATGTTCAAGTATCCCTGATTATCTAATATCCAGAGAGTTGGCTTGATCAAATTCAGATCCAAATAAGGCCCTCTTGGGGGATTTCCTTTATTATATTCCTAAATGTCTCTTTTAATATAAAATAGTCTTTTAAAAAAAACCAATCTGTTCTGGTTTGGCTGATTGCTTTTTGTGATGTCATTTTCTAGAGCTTGTATCTTCTGTCACACTTGTAGCTGGGCAGTTATATCTACATGCTAACTTGATTCAAGTTCAATACTTATTTTTGTAAAGAATTTCATAGATAATGCTGTGTCCTTTTAAAAAATTTTTTAACATATTTAATTTAGCTGTATCCTTTGAACATCATCATAGATAATGCTATTGAACCTCATCGTGGGGATGTAGTGTTATATCCTCTCACCTTTTGTGATGCTAAGATTGATTTCTGGGCTCAGGTTATCACCACAAACTGGTGACAACTGCTTGAGTTATTTATTTTATTAGGGCTTGCTAAATAGTGATTTTCTAGTTCTTGCATTCCTTCTGCATTTATCGGCTGAATTTCTTCTGACTAGTAGAACTGTTCCTCATGCACTTGCTTACTCTGAGATACAGTTCACATCGGAAGAGCAGGATACATGATTAAATTTTTTCTCTTCATCAATTTTCAGAGTTGATGCCCTAGCAACCTTCAGTAATGTCTAGTGAGGTTTTTGGTGTGTTTGTTTTTCATACTTGTTTTGCTTTTTAGTATCATTATGGACTCATTGCTTTTTTAAAAAAATAAATTCCATATGTTTAATCAGTTGCAATTATTAATTCTTTCTGGTGTTCACACTGTCTTACATTTGGTCAGAACACACACCTTTAAGCTGGCTCTGTGTTCTTTGGATCTTATCCTATAAGCCTTTGATGAATATTTTATTTTCTGGAAGAACAAAATTACCCAAGTTCTTTTTGAACGTTTGTGTTCCAGATATGAAGCCAACCATTTCCTTAAGAAGTCGGGGTTCCTTTTAGTGGAGAATGGTGCTTAGAGACCACAAATTGGGCAGTAAGGATTATACTGAGTGCCGAAAAGTTAAAAGGCATTTAGGGCATTGTCTATACCACTGCAGTATAGATGGGGTGCAAAACCCACACAATGATTTTTAGAAAGATGCTCAAAGTGATACCAATAATAAGTGATCAAGAAAGAGGTCAGTGGAGAGTGGCTTTTTAACAATCAAAAGAGTGAGCCTTGCACTGGACCTGGGCAAAAGTATAGGTGGAAAAAAAAGGCAAAAGAGACTAGTATAAAGATAAAGCAGAAGACCCCATGTTTCCAATTTAACTTTTATTTTTTTAATTTTTATTTATGTATTTGTTTATTTATTTATGAGAGAGAGAGGAAGATGAGCAGAGGGTAGGGAACAAGCAGACTCCATGCTCAGTGTGGAGCCCAACATGGGGCTCGATCCCTGACCCTGAGGTTATGACCTGAGCTGAAACCAAGAGTCATATGCTTAACTGACTGAGCCACCCAGGCGTCCTTGATTTAATTTCTAAAAGAAGAGAATTTCAATATGGTTTGCTCATAAGATGTCCTGACAAGGAAATAGAACATCTGTTTAGAAAAACATGTTTGGTGCCTCAGTGTCTTCTGTTATAAAGATTTAATTTAAGAATAAATGGATTGATTATTTTATATGGAGTATGTATTAAGATCAGAGATTTAGATGTTCAAAATCAGTGTCATTACATTGTCTTAACTAGAAGACCACAGATTCTCATCCAGCCTCGGGGATCCTATTCCCTTGGCAGAGTAATTAGTATACTTACCTCGTTATATCCAATTGCCACTATGGACTACAGTTTTTGACTCCTTGGACCCCTTGAGTTTTAAATCTGATGCCATGATAATGTTCATTTCCACTGGAGCCTGAGGACCCAACACAGAAAATTACATGTAGATGTAAGCTACCTCCCAATCTGCATAATTTAGTTCTAAGAAGAAGAAAAACTAGGACTTATGGAGAACATGCCTCTTAAAGGGAAATGCATATTCTAATTCTTGACCTCCTTAGTTACACAAATCAAAGGGTAAAATGAGTTGCCAATGTCAATATAGCAAATACATTTTGGGAGGTCTAGTTTTAGAACATCACAGTAAAGGACACTCCAGTATCAATAATCTACCTATAAGGGTGAAGTCTTGGTTTATAAATTAAAGGGCTGGGTCAATGAGCATAGTGAAAACAACTTAATTTCCTTGAAGGAAAGAACCTGTTAGCACTATGTCTGTCCCATGCCTGCATACCCTTCATGTTCTTTCCATTTTACAGGTCTGACTTCCTGTGTATGTTTTATGCTAATGTGTGGTCACAGTCCATTGAGCCACCATTTCTTAAACTTTCTTTCTACCATGACACCTTGTATCATTTAAACAAACACTTTACAAAAGAAGAATTGCCCTTACTGTCTAGATGAATGGTGATTTTTTTTTTTGTATTTAGAATATTCTATGAGTTCATTTTTAAGAAAGGCTGATGGCAACCCACTAGATTGATTTCACAGTGTTCTGGGTCACAATCTATGACCAGAAAAAACAATACTTAGTTGTCTTCTCCCCAGCTCTGACTCATGCTTGTTTTGTAACAGATGCTGCAATGTACAACAACTCTGGAGCCCTGCCCACCTCACCTGTGGCACCCACAACCTATGGTATGTGTGATATCTAGTTATAGAAGTTAAAGTTGAAGGGACCTTCTACAGGATGAAAAAGGGTGGGGATTTTGCAAGGGCCCGACTATGTGGGAGGCTTCATACCAGGTGGCTTTGGATAAAAGGTAGTTCTGGAAAGGTAGGCTCCAAAGTAAACAGCCCAAAGTCACTCTCCTCACTGCTGGCTCATGTGATTCTTCAACTAAAGCAGAGTCTGGAGTTGTTCCAATTGTTTCATGGAATTTAGGTAGCTTAGAACGGAAACAAGGAAAGGAGCATTTCTAGGTAAGACCCATAGTGGGGATCTCAACGAATGGATGGAAGCCCATTAAATGAAATGGTATTCTTGCTAATTGGAGATATATGCAGAAGTGTACCCTGTACTTCAGGTGGTCACTGGCCATATGAGTCAGCAATCTGGGAAACACACAAGATTAAGTGTCTCCAAAGAAGACTCCTCACCTATTTTTCATGAGGTGTGATTGTGAGCCAGTAGACCTAGGCTGTGGTAATAAAGGAACAAAATTTGGGGATGAATGGAAAACCTCTCCATTATCCAGTCTGATACATGAGGAGAAGGAGGCATGTACAATGGAGGAGCAAAGTCCTACAAGAGTAGCAAGACCGAAACTAAGCAGAAGTATTAAGGTGGCATCTTGTGGAATTATCTCGGAAGGAAAATGTTCTACCTTTCTGCCTCTAGTCCAGTCTGTCATGCTTTCCTTGCCCCAAGAGATGATGGTGTTTTCCATCTTTCTCTTCCTGGTCACAGATCCAATGCTTAAAGTCGATGACAGCAACACACGGATCCTGATTGGCTGCTTGGTGGCCATCATCTTCATCCTCCTGGCCATCATTGTCATCATCCTCTGGAGGCAGTTCTGGCAGAAAATGCTGGAGAAGGTGAGGAAGTGCAGAACAGTCATGGTATAGGAAGCTGCTCCACCCTTGCCTAAGCTACTGTTACCTAAGGAGAAAAAGGCAAATATAAGACCTTGTAAATACTTAGAGTGTTAACTGAGGCAACCAAGAAGCATGGGAGTGGTGAAGCTTGATGCTAAAGGGAGTCAGAAAAGAATAAGCTAAGTCCATATTCTCATGTTTAGAATGGGGATTTTGGAAGCTCCCTAGAAAACTCAGAAAACTATTCCTAATCCGTTGAATCTCAACTCAAACATCTCGCTTGAAGGTTTTGACCACTGGGTTTGGAAGGGAGTGCATGCATCTGTATTTTTTGAAAAAATTAACAGATGAACAACTCGTACGTATCTGATAATGCTGTTCCTTCTCTTCTGTTACTGTTTGCATGTGTGTGCATGCGCGCGTGGGCGCGCACGCGCACGCACAGAAAAACATTCAACCTCATTAATATCCAAGCCAACTTTTTCGTAGTCCTATTTCTACTTCTTTATGTATTTGGAGTTATGATTATGCATCTTTCTGGGCCCCTCAGATTTGCTTTGTCCAGTCTGACTTATCTGAATATTTACACATTTGTCTAACATTTGACGATCTGCAAGGCCTTTTTTCACGTGAATTATTTTACTTGGACCTCATTGAATAGTGGTGAGCTGGGCCCAGTGGTTGTATTTAATGCTTTTTCTGTTGAGAAAATGTCATTTGCGCAAGGTCATACAACTGATATCCTATTTTCTATGCTCATTCCAATTGTCAGTCTTGAAATTTGTAAACTTTTTTTCCTTCCAATATATATCTATTCCACCAAAGATAGAATATGTATGACTTTTCTTGGCTTGTTAAGCTAGATAGCAATTCTCTGGGCACTTCTGCTAAGTATCTGATGCTCTTGGGGTCTGCTGATGGTTGAGTGTTTCTAGAGTTGACCATAGAGATCTGCGCTGATCAATGAGTTCAAATCGATGTGGGACTGAGAGGTTTTAGAAACTCTGAACTGTGAGGCTGTTCAAAACCTTTCTTCTAGAATGCTGGAGCACACTGGGTATCTAAATTCAGGGTGAGGGACAACGAAGAGTGCTGGTGGTAGTAGAAGCTGGTGGACTGAAGGTTCATGGGATGGCTTGAAGCTGATGTGTATCTTACTGAGTTTCTTGTTATGACTCCATTTTAATTGGGAAGAGGGAATCTGTGTTATTTATTCTATGAACTATTTTTCTCTTCATTGGAGCCAGAATTTGCCATACTTCTCTGGGTCTTTCTTCAGAGTCTGATTGGAATATTTCCATGGGCTGGAAGAGGAGTGTTGGATTGGAGACCCTTCAAGTAAAAGGGAGGGCAGCAATTTTGCCTTGAAATACTTAACTTGGTCCTTCAAGAAATTCTTTCTACCCTGCGTATCCTAGTGATAAAACTCCAGATGCTCTGGAATGGCACGAGTTTTTTTTCCGGGGACAGATGTGTGTGTGTGTGTGTGTGTGTGTGTAAAACCCTTAAGTGTATGTATATATTTCAAGAAACATTACTCAAAATAGCTTTAGAGTAATCAATATTTGTAGGATCATTTTGGTAGTGTCCTTAACATTTTTCCTTTACGAAAGTTAACCCATATTTATTGAGTACCTACAGCGCGCTGGGTTCCATGCTCAGTATTGGGGGTGTTACTGCAACAAAGGACTTTTCAGTCCAGGGAACAAAGTAGATATCTAGGTCTCTCCATTGAGCATTCAAAGTGTGTTTGTTGGAGTGGGATATTTTACATGTTCCAATCCAAATAGTCAGATGTATTCAGATTCTGGCATTTTCCTTTGGAAGGAGCAGGTACGTCACATTGGATAGGATGCCAAAACAATTTGTTATTTTATTCTTTTTCTTCCTTTATTAGGTATAATTCACCTCAGTATCTCCAGGGATTTCCTTGCCCATTTTTATAGCCATTTTATTTTTGCTTAGTAAAAATGCTGGATTGAGGGCGTATTACCCTAACCTGCAGTGCCAGACTATTGATCCATCATGTAACAGTGAATTTGTTGAATGAATGAGCATTTTAATGTGTCTACACAAGATCAAACCAATTAAGGGATAAGTCTGCAAAAACCTATTATTTAATAGAACGTCGAAAACTCTGCAAGATTGAGAAGATCTTTCATGGATAACTGATAGGTTCTCATAGTGTCAGGTAAATAATGCTTATATTGCTTCGATAAAAGTTAATGAATATTGACAACACGGAAGTTAGGGGGGTCAATTTCTGCCTTGAAGCAATCAGTGAAGGATTATTCTAAGTTTCTATGACCCAGGCATTTGGGGAGCCAGACTACACCCCTGTCACTTACGATGCTTGCCGAGTTGAAGAGTAATAAAGAGGCATTCCACCCGAGTGGAAGACCTGGGTCTCAGAAGAGGAGGAAGCCCCATCCCCTTTGTGCCAATATGCCTTCCCCATCCTTCTTGTTCAGGCTTCCCGGAGGATGCTGGATGATGAAATGACAGTCAGCCTCTCCCTGCCCAGTGAGTCCAGCATGTTCAACAACAACCGCTCCTCGTCGCCAAGTGAGCAGGAGTCCAATTCCACTTATGATCGCATCTTTCCCCTTCGCCCTGACTACCAGGAGCCATCGAGGTTGATACGAAAACTCCCAGAGTTTGCTCCAGGGGAGGAAGAGTCAGGTGAGGATCACACCATGGCAGAGAATGAGGGAGATGTCTTGACAGGCATTTTGAAAGTGTGACACTTGACTCCTACTCAACCAAATCTGGTTTTTGTCGAGAGAAGTCCACGTTTCCCTGAGAAGTCCACACTCTCTTTCTAGATTGATCTGCCATTGCTCCTACCCCAATCTGAGTGCCTCTGAGGTGTTTAATCACATAGTCGGTGTTTAAAGGGACTCTTAGGTCAGAAGAGAAAGAAAATAAGTAAAGGGTGTCACTAAATTGTTCATGCCAGAAGAACCTAAGCAGTCCAGCTAGTCTGGTATCCTCATTGTCCATAGGAAGAAGCTGAGGAGGCCCAGATAGGCCACTCACCCAATACCAAACATCATTAGCGGTAGATTCAGGACTAGCATTTCACCTGGAGAAAATAAACCAATGAAGCTAAAGACATCCTGGAATTCCCTATTTTCTGGCCCTCAAGAGTTTATCTAATTTTTGTTTATTTCTCTTTGGTGGAAATTTATTTGACTAATACAAGATCTCTTACGACAGAAAATATTTCTTGCCTTTCTTCAGAAGTACTGCTTTGGTAAAACAGGGCCAACTGATTCACATCCAGTGGTTTTCTTTTTTCTTTTTTTTTTTTTTAATGTGCCGCAGAATGACATCAGAAGGGATTCTGGGGTCATCACTGAGGCTCAGAGCAGCTTTTCCAGAAGGTCAGCAACTGAAGAGTGATGCAAGTCAGTAGAAGAACTTGTGTTCAGGGGAGAGCCAGGTGGAGGAGCAGACAGGACTGACTGGGAGCGCATAAGCTTTTCAAGGGGTCTTTTCAAAGGAAGTGAGGAAGCTCACATGTATTCATGGCTCAGTGGATAGCAAACACTGAAGGAGCACATTGAACTCAGGGCATTATAGGAAGATAGCAGGATAGCAAGAATAAACTAATTTGCAACAGAGATAGCAAGAATAAACTAATTTATTTTAGGCTGGACTAAAGTAATTTACCTGTTTTCTAAAGTCTTAAAACATTTCCCCCCTCATATTTTAATTTTTTAAAGGAAGGTTGTGCTTTAAACTAGATCATCAGAAAGTTGTCTAATCCCTAAAGTAGGTTGTTAAACCAATGATAGTGTCTTAAAGAAACATGTGATGAAGTCTTCCAACTTTAATACTCCTGCCCTTATGTAACACGAACTGTCCTCTAGTTTCACCACAATCCCCTCAAATTAGTCAAGGAGGTTGTTAATGATCACATAGTTTGAGAAGAAGAGAGAAAATGATGTTCCACATTCTGAAGGCCACAAGAAAGAGTCTCTAGGGGAACCCTTCTCTGAGTGAGAATGGCGTGGAGTAGCGTAGGCTGTCTTCGGGGCATGTCCTAGCCTTCCTCTCAGATTTTCTTCCTGGAAGGATCTCCAAAGATGCCCCTTGGAGTTGGACTCACTGCGGGTGTCTTCCCAGGCTGCAGTGGCGTTGTGAAGCCTGCCCAGCCCAGCGGGCCGGAGGGGGCGCCCCACTACGCAGAGGCTGACATCGTGAACCTGCAGGGGGTGACCGGAGGCAACACTTACTCAGTGCCTGCTGTCACCATGGACCTGCTTTCAGGGAAAGATGTGGCGGTGGAAGAGTTCCCCAGGAAACTCCTGACATTCAAGGAGAAGCTGGGAGAAGGCCAGTTCGGGGAGGTGAGTTGAATCTCCTCGTGGGGTCTCCAGTTCTTGGTATCCCAAAGATAGTAGTTGAATAAAAATGGCCAGGAGAGCAGAAAAGTACCCCTTCCAAAGTGGATTTGTACCAGAATGTCTCCTTCCCTCATCTGTCCTTGCCTTGTCCTCTAGAAGGCTGGGACTGGGTCCACCTCGCTCTTACGAAAGAACTCAGAAAGGTTCCTGGGTCTTCTGACTTCTGTATAGGAGTTTTTAAAGCCAGCAAGTCACTAGACTTCAGATATCGTGAAAAACACTCAGTATTTTCAATTTTTTTTTTTTTTTTACAATAGGTTACAGAGAGGGTGGGGACGAGTAAGATGTGATCATCTTTGATAAACTGTCCAAGAACATCCTGCTACTTGATAGCCACTTTGTTTTCTTCCTTTCCATGGGAGTTACATGTAAAGTGGTCAAAAACAACCTCGCCCCTGACTTAAGTCCCAGACTCAGCCACGAGGGGATGAATTGCCAATTGAGATAAGGAGGAGCACTCTTCCCGGTCACCCTCCAAGCGATGCATGTCATAGTGACTTTGCACTCTTATGTCAGTCACGTGAACCTTCTGAGAATCCAAATCCATGATTTAAGTGGCAACAGGAGCCCTTCAACGGTGCCATCTGAACTCCAGATGAAATAGAAGAACGTGTTCTTTTCAAGGGGTCTTTTCAGTGTGGTTTTCAAGGGGTTTTCAGTGTGGGTGGCACGCTTTGCCCTTGCATGGGTTTGGTATTGGTGGAAGGGTTCATGGCATCTTTTCGTGATGTCATTCTGTCCCTGGGGTTGAAAACACATGCTCATTATCTGTTACTCATATGTAGGGGTTACTTATAGTCCTAACGCCACACTAAGGGACTACCTTAGAGAAGAAATTGCCATCTGTTTCGTATGAACCAGTAACTAAACTTCCTTGAATCAAAATGGGAGCATTTATGCTGAGCAACATTTTATAGTGGACCCTACTGGAATAAAATGCTATGTTGTAGATTCGTTCACATATTTAACGTTCCAATCAATGTATATATCTTTTATAAAGTAGTAACGTGTCATATTAGCTGGGTTTTACCCCTGTTTGTCTTGGCTATTTGAAGGAAAGGTATGTTATATGTATCTTAACAGTCTTTGATGATTTTGCTTGAGTTGAAGAGTTAGCTTATCTCCCGAAAATGCCCAGCGAGGGTACTGAGCCATCTTCAGGAGAAACGATGATGCTGAGACTAGATGACTTTTGTCTAGGTTCATCTCTGTGAAGTGGAGGGGATGGAAAAATTCAAAGACAAAGATTTTGCCCTAGATGTCAGTGCCAACCAGCCTGTCCTGGTGGCCGTGAAAATGCTCCGAGCAGATGCCAACAAGAATGCCAGGTCTGTGGTCTGCATTTTGAATTTTCCTTTATGTATTTCACCTTCAGGATCAGAAACGGTCCTGGAAACTGTGAGCAACTTTTTTCTTTTGAGATGGGAAGGTCTGTGAGCTGCCTCACCTTTCGCTCTTGTGCTCTTGTTTTCTGATGGGCCTGCAGTCCTCATCTGTCTTCTCTATCTCTGGCAAATGCAGATGTCTGTTTTCCATTGAATTAGCTACATGTTGACTTCCAAATTCCCTTTGTACAGAGCTGTACTTCCCAACACACACAACATCCTGAATATGTGCTCCTTTGACCATGGCGCACAGACGTACTCCTGAATGTCATTACCGCCTCCTGGCCGACTTCCTTGTTCACACACAACTTTCTTGCTAAGTCTCCTCTGTTCTCCTTTATTTGCATCTCTATTTACTTTCTTATTCCTTTTTTTTTTCTCTTTTGCTCTTATGCTCCTTTTCTTCAATGTCCAGCAACCCCCAAAATGAGAAGCTACCTCTACTTGGCAAAGTATCCATGGACCTCAAAGCAAAAGGATCCTACAGTCCTTTAGCAGTGCCCCAAACTGGCTAATAGTCTCTTGGATCCTTTACTACATAAATTGCCGTTTCCAGCCACACTCCGTTGTCTGACAGCCTTTCCATTACAGTAATGGTGAGTTAATCCTCACCCAGAGAGGCATGCTGATTGAAAACTGGTTGTCTCTGTCTCAGAGAAGTTTGCACATCTGGGTAACGTATGTATTTCCCCATTTGTGTTGACTTGATTTGTCTCACTGATATTCAGAGTGAGAGAAAGCTTATTATCCCTCTTCCCCAAATTATTGGAAATTCCAAGAATGGTGGTAGAGTTTCCACTGTCTTGCAGTGGACAGGATGTGGAATGAAGAAGAAAGAAAGTTGAGAGAACAGAACTGGAATTTTAACTGTGAGAACCTCAATCTTAAAGACATTAGTATGCATGAAAAATGACATCCTCTGAGTCCTTTAGAGAGGAGGAATATTCTTAATATTAACCTTGGCACACAATTGGAGAGAGTGGCAAGAAGAAAGAACATAGGATATAACAAAGCCTTTGCCCATTGTTTTGGTTGGTGAGGTTTGGTGTCCCTTCACCTATGCTTACTACAATTTAGCCGTGAAGGATGACCTAAACTCTGGGCTCCCCAAACTGTGGAAATCCCTGATTTTGAGTAGAGGGGGGAATGAAAGAGGGGGAATGTTACATCAGGAATGCATTGATTTCAAGGGTTTTATATTGATACAGTATTACTCCCAGTTCAGGGTTGCTAGAAAACTCACAGAAGATTACTAACTGATCTGCTCTGATAGTTTTAAGAATGTGGGCTAGTGGTCTTACTTACAAATATTGTTCCTGGGAAGGGCAGAGCCCATTTTTTTGACTCAAGGGAGTGGTCACTAGGTACTCAAACGGCTCCAGTCTTGGCCAAGTGAGTACTGTTTTTTGTTTTTTGTTTTTTTTTTGTACTGTTTTTGAAATGACTCCACATCGCCACCGTGAGTTTTGAAAAGCTCAGCTTTGACCAGACTGCTCAGAGTGTGTTGTGATGGACTGCTGGTATGTCCTGTACTAACAATAGTCAGTATGAGAAAAATAAAGATGCACCAGATAAGGGGCCCCTGGGTGGCTCAGTGGACTAAAGCCTCTGCCTTTGGCTCAGGTCCTGATCCCAGGGTGCTGGGATCAAGCCCAGCATCAGGCTCTCTGCTCAGCAGGAAGCCTGCTTCCTACCTTCTCTCTGCCTGCCTCTGCCTACTTGTGATCTCTGTCTGTCAAATAAATAAATAAAAAATCTTAAAAAAAAAGATGCACTAGATAAACTAGAGGATGATTATTCACTTTATAAAAGATTTCTTTGCTCTATTAGTAGAGAGAGTCCATGGCTTTTAAAAAGGTAAATACCCCAGTGCACTTAAGATAGGATATCCAGGGAAAGGTTTCATTTTGCAGACTTGTTTTTAGCAGCATATATTTGATTCAGCAAATGGTAATCCCTTTCTATATGGTGGGCCTTTTGTTGGATTCTAGGGATGCATATGTGAGCAGGTCATGGTTCATGTTCTCAAAAAGATTGCAGTTGAATAAGGGTGCATCCTATTCCGGGGTATGTAGAATGAGATAGTTTCTAGGTACCAACTTCTCTGTCCTCTCAAAGGTTATCCAAAGGGAAACAAGCCTCGGGATAATGGGTAGGACTAGGCTTTGCTGTGTCTTCTTCCCCCTCTTTTCTCTAACCCTGGCAACCTCTGGGTTTACCTATGTCTGTGTCCTCCAAAGGAATGATTTTCTTAAGGAGATAAAGATCATGTCCCGGCTCAAGGACCCAAACATTATCCGCCTCTTAGCCGTCTGCATCACCGACGACCCTCTGTGCATGATCACTGAGTACATGGAGAATGGAGATCTCAATCAGTTTCTTTCCCGCCACGAGCCCCCCAGTTCTGCCTCCAGCAACGCACCCACTGTCAGGTAAATATGCCAAGTCTCCTAGCTCTACCCTGTGTTTGTGGCACTAAACTGGGCTTTGAAGACAGGGAGCCTCAAACGTTCAAGTTTGTCAGTATTCTGGCCTGGTAGGGAATAATGGCACCACTGCCCTCTGGGGAAAAGCACAAAGATTCACTGAGAACAGAAAAGGGATGTTGAGGTCAAAACTCCAGTTCATTGGTACCAGCTGTAGAACGTATGCCTCTCATGGCTTTCTCTTCCCATAGGCCACTTTCCTCTTTTTTATTCCCCAGTTATGCCAACCTAAAGTTTATGGCTACACAGATTGCCTCCGGCATGAAGTACCTTTCCTCCCTTAATTTTGTCCACCGAGATCTGGCCACACGAAACTGCTTAGTGGGTAAGAACTATACCATCAAGATAGCTGACTTTGGAATGAGCAGAAACCTGTACAGCGGTGATTACTACCGAATCCAGGGCCGGGCAGTGCTCCCCATCCGCTGGATGTCTTGGGAGAGTATCTTGCTGGTGAGTTCGTCACTTTTTTTTTTTTTTTTAAGATTTTATTAATTCATTTGAGAGAGAGAGAGCAGAACTAGAGAGAGGAAGCATGAGTGGGGGGGAGGGGAAGAAGGAGAGGGAGATGCAGACTCCCTGCTGAGCTGGGAGCCCGACACGGGCTTGATCGCAGGACCCTGAGATCATGACCTCAGCCGAAGGCAGACACCTAACCGACTGAGCCACCCAGGTGTCTTAGAGTTCCTCACGTTTTTAAGCACTACCTCAGCAACTGACATGTAGGCAGGTGCACTTGGCACATAGAGACAAATGTGAGACAGTAGGAAGCAAACAATAGACGTTGATATTTTCTGACTTGAGATGATTTACTTCGGTGAATTAATTACTATTTCTTTTTTTAATTACTATTTCTTAACACTTGCCTATTTCTGCTGATAAAATGTAACATGCTTACTATAGAAAATTTGGGGAAAAGATTAAAAATGTACCTATCATCATAAGGGATTTAGTATCATTTTTTTCTCTCTCTACCTTTTTGACATACCGATTGGTCTTCGTTAATTTGTTAAAAATATTATCACTTAAAGAAATGTTATCCACAAAAAATATTTTTCTTCTCTATTAACTTCATAACTATATTTCTAATGAATTATTTAGACTGATGTCTATGTATTTATTTTAATGAGTATTACTATTTATTTTTTATTTTAAGTTCATCATTCTTTCCTTTATAATTATTATTCAACTCTTGGTATTCTGGACCAAGAGTGAGTGATTTTTTTCCAGATGTCTCTCTTGAAGGTATTTTTTCTGACCTTGCATATTTGAGACATTTTATTGTTGATTTTATACCACTTAGCTGATTTGTGGAATTATTAGACTTTAAACATTTACTTCCTACAATGGTGTGTGCCTGTAATTTTGTCATTTGTCATTTAACATGGCAGAGAAAAGCCCAAGAGCAATCTAGCTTTGTTCATTTATAGTTGATCTGTGTATTTCTTGTTCATATTCTTAAGGGATTCATTAATTAAATTCAAAGTGAAAAAATATATATAGTTATCCCCTTTCTCTCACTAAGATAACAGTTATTAATATTTTGGCATATTTCCTTTGTGGGTTGTTTTCTATACACACATTCCTGTGTGTGTGTATATATGTCTATGTATGTGTACATATGTACATACATGTATGTGTGTATATGTGTGTGTTTACGTGTGTATATACAGTAGTCTCCCCCTTATTTGTGGGGGATATGTTCCAGGACCCCCAGTGGACACCTGAAACTGAAGATTTTTTCCCATATATACATATCTATGATAAAGGTGTAATATATATATTTTAATGTTTTAATATAGAAATCAGGCACAGCAAGGGATTAAAAACAGTAGCTAGTAATAAAATAGAACAATTATAACAATATAATGTCAAAAGTTACATAAATATGGTTTCTCTCTCCAAAATATTGTCGTGTACTCACCCTTCCTCTTGTGACACTGTAAGATGACACAATACCCACATGGCGAGGTGAAGTGGGTGCATTGTGCAGATGTGATGGGGGTGAGGCTGCTGCTGACCTTCTGATGGTACATCGGAAGGATGCTGCTCTGCTTCTGGGTCACTGTTGAATGTGGGTCACCGAAATCATGGAAAGAGGAACTGCAGATAACGGGGATTGCTGGGTACCAACAATTACATTACAGAACCAGGACAGCACTGTGCACATATAATTCTATATCGTTAGCATTTCCTATGTCATTAAATTTCTTCAAAAACATGATTTTAATGGCCGCATCATATCCCATTGGATAGCTCTGTCCAGTAATTTAATAACGTCTTTGTAATTTGGTAAGTAAGCGCTTTCCAGTTTCCCACTATTACGCCTGATGCTGTGATATATCCCAGTTTACATGAGTCCTCACAAGGATCTTTATCATCTGTGTATGTGAATCAGTACTTCACCCATCTCTAATGTGATCAGTGGGCATTGCTCCTTTTAGAGGTATTCTATAGTGTTGGAAAAGCAGATCAATGTGAGAGACACAGGATCCTGTTCCAAATCTTAGTTTTTCCATTACTCGTGGCCTTACTCTCGAGATTTTAGTAAACCTCCCTTGTCTCACTTTCCTGATCTGAAAAACTAAGGATAAGTAACATCATGGACTTGAGCATTGTATTTATGGAATAGGAAACATGCACAATTTTACACGTGCTGATAGCACCTGACTCCCATTGCTGTCACGTGTGGGTCTCCCCTTCAAGAGGTGACTTTTACTGACCTGGGGAGCCAGAGCCCTGGATTCTTCAAGAGACCTCTCCCAGCCCTTAAACTAGGTTCCTCTGTCTCTAACATAAAAATGATCGATTTCCCATTCATCTATTGCCATTCCCACAGGCATTTTCCCATGGTCATTTTCCCACGGGCATTGAAGTGTGAGCTTCTGACACTCAGTGGGAGAGTCAGATAGCTTACAGCTGCACCTCTGGGGTCTCCTCTGCAGGAGAAGCAGACCTAAGAGACCAGAAGGGCAAGAGAGCGGCCTCCGTAGCTTGATGTCAAAACAACTTGACTTTGTCGTTTTAGATACTCCATATACATCATGGCAGTTTCAGTGTTCTGTGCCCCGGGTAGTGGACGGGGTACCCAGGTCCTATGGATCTTACCTGCTCTTGTCACGTACAGACCACTCCTGTGCCCTCCTCTTTTCCTTGCGTAAACAGGGCAAATTCACAACAGCGAGCGACGTGTGGGCCTTTGGGGTGACTCTGTGGGAGACATTCACCTTTTGCCAGGAGCAGCCCTATTCCCAGCTGTCAGATGAGCAGGTCATCGAGAATACTGGAGAGTTCTTCCGGGACCAAGGGAGGCAGGTGAGAACTGCTGGGGTTGGCCAGGTGTGGGTTTGGGTGCTCCGGAAGGTGAGAGGAAGAAAGCCCTGACTTAGCAGGTTAGCCTAAGCTGGAAGGTAAGTCACCTGGGTGGCAGCCTTTGATCACTAATTATCCAGATGATGCGAAAGACTGAGAGTCACCCCTGCCCCTGCCCCACCAGCCATACACTCTGCCTTATCCACACGGCAACCCATGATCATTGGACAACACAAGGGGTTAGTTACGCCAGGTTCTTTCCCAGCTCCAAGATAGCAGGAAATAAGATTCTCTTTCTCATGTTTGCTCTGTTTCTTGATCTAGACTGTGTGGTTTGCCCTCCTGATTAAAATATATAAGGACAAAAATATAAGTTTAAAAGTGAATAAGGGATTTACTGGCAGGGGTTAACAATTCGGTTTGGACTAAATATTTAGCCATGTTTCTAGATGTATATGCCCAGAGACCATCAGGTGCCTGGACTATGGCTTCTCAGAACTTGGGAAAAGCTAGATTCCCATGCTGACAAGGATCCCATTTCCCAGTCAGGATACTCTAAGATTTCTTTGGCTGGCTCAGTTTGTAAGATCCCTGTGAGATGCAGGACGTGAGGCTAGCTGATGCAGTTGGAGCACTGAATCTCCCCAGAATGGCCTAGCCACAGCACCCTCGAGCACGGCAGCTCAATCCAACAGCCAGGGATGGGGAGAAGGCTCTTGCACAAAATAAAATTTCGATTCTCTGAAGGCTTAAATACATCAAAGCAAGCAACAGATAAGGGAATGACAAGCGGTAAGACAATATGCAGGTTGAAAATAAGAGGAGAGGTCCTGGAATTTCATTTTATCTTGACACTCTAGAGATTTTGGGAAGAGGGGATCCAAATTATCCTTGTTAGTTATAAAAATAATTGCTTTCTTACCATGACAAAGGGCAAATTTACTCCTGTGTGCAGAGATAAGTGAGTGGACTGAGGGATAAGATGTTTTTTATCCTGGACAAATCTGTCATGACCCCAGGTTGACCTAGTTTTAATTTCTAACAATCTCCAGTATTTTATGTTTCTTATTTAGTTTTGAATACTCAGCTTAAAAGGTCCCACCGTTTTATCTTCATGAAATACTAGTAGTGAACCAAATATATTTTCACCGACCACCAAATGGTCGAATAGCAAAGTTAAGTATTTGATTGAAGCCTTGGTCAAAATCAAGTATTACCATTATATGCTGAGTAAACTTCTCACCTATAGGTGTAAGTTTAAATTGTCAATAAAATTTTATTAAACTGAATACATTAATTACTAAACATAATTTATCAAATTTATACTCGATTACCTTTTACAACATTTAATTACTTTAAGTTTTATTACTAACATTTCAGGATTCACATTTTGAACGTTTGACATTTTGAACGTTTGACAGGGGCAGTCATTTCTCAACCCTATCAGCTGCGAGGCAGGCTCTGTGGTCAGCAGACTCCTCTCCATGGTCCAGCCTGGGGGAGGGGGTCACAGAGAACATGACAGTAGGAGCGACACAGGTACATCCCAGGACCTGGATACACTGCAGTGTCTGTGTCTGGTGAGGGTCCTATTCCAGGGGAGGAGCTGAGACAACCAACACACTTGCCATCCCCGCCCCACCATGACTGGCTCGACCAAGATCAACCTCAACATGCATGGGTCATAAGCAGAGGGTTTCGTGGTCTAACCACATGCTTTCCAGCCTGAGTCCTCATTTTGCTTCAGGTTCATCTTTTGCGTGATGGTCGGGACCTCAGAGTGGTCCATCAGGAGATCCTGGTCCAGACAATGAGGCACAAGGGAAGGGGACAGGGACCCAGCTGGCAGTGGGAAAGACAGACACCACACGCGTTTCAGTTATCAAGCTTAAGCATCGGGGGAGGCAGATAAAACCACAATGCAGCTACACTTCCTTTTTGCCCTTCTTAACACTCTGGATTTTTGTGGGCTTTTGTTTTCCAAGACGTACCTCCCGCAGCCTGCCATGTGCCCGGACTCTGTGTACAAGCTGATGCTCAGCTGCTGGAGGAGAGACACCAAGCACCGTCCATCGTTCCAGGAAATCCACCTTCTGCTCCTTCAGCAAGGGGACGAATGATGCTGTCACTGCCTGGACCCATTCTGATGGCCCAGGTCCTTCTCGTGAGACCTACCACTCACTCACCCATGCCTAAGCCACTCCATCTGGACATTGAATGGGCTCGGGAGATGGAGGCTTGTTGGCTTCTCTCTCTCTGTCCCTGGGCTCCCTTCACTCCACTCCCTCACTCTCTACCCCTGACCTATATTTACTCTTTTTTTTTTTTTTACATTAAAAAACAAAAAAAAGAAAAAAAAAGCCTAGGGCAGATAAAATCTAGTAAAGAAATCTTACTTAATATACCAAAGTGTTGGATAGCAGGCTAGACAATTTAGATAATTTATAAAGGTTAAATATGCTATGTTTATAAATGTGCAGATGCTACAATGTTTTTCCCATGTCACCTTTTAAAACGTATTTTCAGAATGAAAAACTTGAAGAATACTAATGTCTTAGGAAACATGATGAGGCTTAGGGAAAACACTCGGTAAGTGTGGAGAATCGGATGGAATGGTTGCTATTCAGCAACTGGTCATGGATTTCTTGGTTTCCTAATTTGGCCCTCTGGACGTGTCCTACCCTCTGTTTCCCTCTCCTGTCAAAGCAGATGATACGTGCTTGAAAAACCCCTGCTTCTTGGAGTGGGTGTTTTGTTCACTCGTGTGCAGGGGTCAGGGGTAAGGTCTCTGTGGTCTATTTGCGTAGACAATACAGAGAATGTGCATAAGAGAGAATGTCTGTCACAAGGCTGTGTGAAGGGGAATTGTCACTTGCCAAAAAAGTACCTCGTCCCCGGAAGGATTCTTGAACAGAGAATGGACATGGGAAAAGAGGTCTGTGGGGGACAGGCAATAGGTGTGCTATTAACCTGTGATTTCTGCAGAAGGTCCTCTTCTCGTTCAGATGTTTCCAGGTGTGTGTTTTGCTGATATCCTGGTTTTGAGAATCCATAAAGCTTGGTGTTTTGATGTCTGGATCACGGGCCCTTAGGTTCATCTTCTGTAAGTCTTCCAGCATTTTTGGCAGATGTATCCCCTAGAGGACCCCTCTCTGAAGGCCATGTATTGTAGGGAGTATATCTGCGTGTTTGCGGAATGTTAACCAAAGAGGGCTGAGGAGGGAAAGTTACAAGCAGATGGACTTCCACTCCTTATTCAAGAAAGCCTAGTCCACAGAACACACAGGGCGGTGGGGCCACCTCCAGAGGGCGGGGGACGGGGAGCGGAGAGTCCTTTGTCCCTGAAGAGCTTCAGATGTAGGCTTTCAAACACAAGGTCATATGAGATGGTATTTAATGTCTTTTTCTCCCTAAGAGTCCTTGATTTCAGAGACACGGGGTGAGCACAATAGAGAAGTCATTCCCTGTTCCTGCTTCGTACACACTCGGGGATGGTGTGGGCAGCAGAAGAGAAATCGGGAAGGTCTGGGTTCAGAACTCATGGAGACTGATAAATTGTCGAATGAGTCCCCTCAGAACAGACTGGGAGCTCTGTGCTCCACAACGGCTCAGATTTAATGGGAAGCAAGAAAGGAGGCCTCTCCGCTCCTGCTGAGAGAAATCAGAAAAACTTACAGAATAAACTTCCCCAGCTCAGAAGAAATAGTCTTGAGTCATCCTTCCTTGGGTTTGCTGCTGGAGCCCTCACCTGGTCCCCCTTGTGCACAGTTGCTCAGGGACTTGACTGTTCTCCCTTGGTCAGCCTTCAGCAGCGCTCCAGGCTACCACAGAAGTGAACTTCCCAAATCCCCAGATGGTCTTGTGACCCTGGAATATACCTTCCCCCATCACTGTCCTTTCACTCTGGGCTCCAGCCTCTCCCAGGACTAATTCTGTGGAGATTGTAGGTTTGGGAATCAGGAGAGCGTTAGTTTGGAAATTGGTCCTACTCTGCCCCAGGCCAAGTGTGTCACCTTGGACAAGTCACTTCACCTTTCTGGACGCCCATTTCCCTCTCTGTAAAATGAGGACATTGGATTAGAGGGTCTTAAAGCCTCTCCCATCCTGAAATGTGCAGGGGTGGTTGGATAACTGGATGGACAGTTGATACGGATTCCCTTATCTGGTCCTCTCCTGCTCTGAAAATCGTAGTCAGCAGAAGGACTCATGCAGGGAACTTACTATAACAGTAACGGTCATGGCTGCCACTGGTACAGTGCTCTGAAGTGTCACCAGGTGTTTCCACAGACCCAATCTCAGTTCATATGTGCAGGGCCAGACATGTCTTTATCCCCTATGTTCTGCCCTCAGGACCAGGACAACTTCATGTATTAGAGAGCTCTCTAGAGAAACAGAACCAATAGGATATCTAGATGTATAGAATTTATTATAAGGGACTGGCCCACATGGTTATGGGGCTTCAGGGTCTCACCATCTGCCTCCTGCAAGTTTTTAGAAACAGAGGACAGGAGATGTTCTAGCTCAGCGGTCAGGCAGAGAGCATGAATTCCCCCTTCCTCCATCTTTTTTCATCTATTTCCCCCTGCTCTCAGAGGATTTGATGAGCCCCCCCCAACACACACACACACACACACACACACGCACACGCACATGCGCACGCGCAGGATAGGGCAATGTGTTTCACTCAATGCACCCATTCAAATGCTAACATCATCTGGGAACACCCACACAGACCCATCCAGAAGTAGTGTTTCATCTGGGCACCCCCTGCCCCTGTCCCAGAGACACATAAACTTAATCACCTCACTGCAGTAGAATCAAAGGGCCTTGAAATCAGGACTGGCAGCCTATTCTCCATCCTGCTTCTGGGAGAGCTCCATGCACATGGTGCCCACAATGTCTTGTGTGGCAAGAGAAGACAACATCATTTCCCCATCTTTGCCTCATCACTCCGCTTCTTTCTTTTTCCCTTTCTGCCTCAACTCACTGCATTCCATCATCCCATTAAAAAAAAAAATCATATTGAAAATCAACTTAGTGTGTCTGGATTTTCCTGGCCTTGAGTCACAGAGTGATTTGTTTCAAGTGGCTGGCAAGCAAGCATTGTCCCATACAGTGACCCTCTCCTGGGAGGAGGACGCACATTTTCCGGCTTTGAGCCTCCTCTGTCATAGACACAGGTCTAGCGTCTAGCCTGGTCAGACCCACAGAGCCTCGCTGCACAGACCCAAGAGACCCAACAGAGGACACAGTGAAGGATTAGTACATTGAATTTAGAAGTAGCTCTAACCTCAACGAGAAGATGTAGCTGGGAAGTTTTAGAAAGGGACACAGGAAAAGGGACAGCCAACCACGGGGCCCTGCTAGTGTGTAGTGAGTTGTCCTCTTCATGACACATGTGAAATAGTTTATGTCCAGATTGTGTTTGTGGAATGGCGGATTTAAATTTATACTTTTGCGGTGAATGGGCTGACCACTAGGTCCACATCTTGATGTGCCATCTGGACACAGATGTGATTAGGCGAGATCTGGAGTGGGAAGGGGCACTGGGTAGAGAATGTGGTTTTCGTGCTGTGGAAAGGTCACTTGCAAGTGCAAGAGACAGTGTAACAATGAGCATTGTACGGAAGTGGAGTCAAAAATGAACCAGTGAAAGTGCATGTGGCTGAGTGGGGGAGGCGGGGGGGGCAGAGAGGAGGCAACACAAAAAGAGGTAAAGGAGGGTACAGGACACAGGGCAGGGCAGGGAGGAAGGAACAGGTGGCACAGGTGGGAGTCTGTGCTGAAGCAGGAGAGCGCATCTCTGAAGAGAGGTCCAAGGGAGGGCAGAAAAGCAAGTGTCTTGAAGATAAAGGATAACTACAATAGAGAAAGGAATTCTGGATGATAGAGATTATGGAAGTATTTATTAAGAAATGAAAAGGCAGGTGCCGCGTATGAAAAGGAAGGGAGCTTTTTAGAGTCTTCAGGAAGGGCAAGTACTAACAGAAACACGTAAGCAACCATCAGGGAAGGGTCTTCTTGGTTCTGAGGGGCCCCCAGGCTGAAGTTAGGCAAGACTTAGTCTTGTTTGATATCTGTGCAAAGAGGTATGTGCCACGTTGGAACCATGTGTTTTTCTAGTCCCATCCAGACTTCCCACAAGAAAGCCATGATGTGGGGCTAAGCCATGTGTTTTGAGTAATGGGGAACAGAAGAAGGGGTGTGTCTGCAAGAGGGAGAGAGGAGGATGTTCCAAGGAAATATTCTAAAACAGAACAGCATCTGTTTTGCCCAAAACTGAAAAAAAAATGAAGAAACTTAAAGTTAGGGCTTAGATTACTCTAACATATGGCTATTAATCTTTGATCCGAGCTTGAATTTATATACCTGCCATCTTGTTCTCTTCAGTAAGACCTCTGACTTCTGGCAGAGCATATGGTAGGTCTCTAAATATTTCTGGAAGTTGCAGATCCTGATCTATGCTGGGAAATCCTTCTGAATTGAAATTTAGCATTTTTATAGAAACAGATAATGTCTTTTCCACTTGGTAAATGTCTTGGAATGTTGAATCAAGATGGAAAGAGACCAGAATGGTTAACGGTGATTGGATTGCTGGCATTTTGAGTTCTCTGGCACAATTAGCTGTATTGCTTGGTGGCAGACAAGTGGTGGGTAATTATTTACTTGCCATATCTTCTTTTTTTAATTTGTTATTTTGAAATACTTTTAAGACTCACAAGAAGCTGGGAAAATAGAGTAGTTTTACCCTAACACCAGGCTTTCCCCATTGATAACATCTTCCATAACCATTGTCTATTTTCAAACCCAGAAGGTTCACATTTGTAATACTATTAACTAGACTACAGACCTTATGCAGATTTCACTGTTTTTTTTTTTTAAACATGTATTTATTTAGTTTCTGGACACTTCATCCCTTTCTGATCTGTAACCTGGCCTTGCTTGGATGCAGCAGGAAGAATACTATCTGGATACGATTCTACAAAATTCTAAAGAGAATAACAAATTAATCTGTTCCTTTATCAACGAGCAATATCCTGCCTAGACTGCTTCCACATTTTCTGACTAGTTTGGCTGTTTAGCATCTGGAACAATCCAGGAACAACTTAGAGGGATTTGG